CCAAACTGGTTCTGTGAGATGTAGTTCTGGCTCAATATAGATCAACTGTGGCACTGTCTGCGGGCTGCAGGCCTCCTGGCTCTCTGTGGCCTGCGTGCAGAAGGCTGCAATACACAGTCATGTTAGTATGAGGCTTCACAAGTACAGTAAATGAGCATGATTAGTCCTTTCAACAAACTGAGTTTTTCTTCCTTAAATTACCACAAACTACTATGTTCACATATCTGCTGGGAATCACACAGTAAATTCATGTACTTCAGAGTTGGACCCATGGCTACACTTAAATTCACAATATTACTTTGTACCCTAGCTGGAAGCTGGCTGATATACACTTGTGATATAAATTATTTTATAAGACACAAGTTGATTCAATGATTATTTTTTCGGCGAGGCAGCCATTTTGAATGTTTTTGTTTATTTTTAAATGAACAGATGAATTGATCTGGTACAGTCTCCCCTGAGGTTAATAAATAGTATTTTAATATAAATATTCTCACTCTCATATACCATGTGATCTACAGGGTGGGGAGGAGTATATGAAAGCAAATAAGAGAAATAGCCTAAGTATTTTAATTTTAACAGCCACTACTTGAATCTCAACTAATAAGCTGTTGAAATGTGACAGATTTTCTGTAAACTATCTGGACTATCCAGATAAAGTGTTACTAATATAGTACTTTGAAAACCATGTATCTGATTTTTTTGTTCTGAATTCATCTCTTTGATATTAAAATGTCAAATTTTGTGAGTTTCAATTTCAAAGGCCTGTTAACAATGTATGTGTGAACTCTGAGGGCTTTCAAAGCCTCGACGGTAAAACACAGAAAAACAGTCACAGTGTTGAAATCTTACAGTCTCCATGATGGAAGTTAGTTGAGTCGCTGCCCGTGAGTGTCTGTGAGACTGATGTCCTCGTCGGGATGCAACAAGTCCTCAGCAGAAGCGTTAAGTTGGATGAAATCGTCGATTGAGAGCTGAGAGAAAACTTTTCTGACCGCTGTCGGCTTTGTTTGTGTTAAAATGATGATCTCGTGTATAAATGATGCACCTGGAGACAAACCATAGCAACCGTGGAATCCTTCACCTCCATTTTATGCACGTGTGATGTCACAGTCACATCTCACCTCTGTGATCTAAAGTCTCATCCAATCATGTTCAAAAGGCCTGAGATCAAGTCCATATCTAACTATGTAGATGCAGCCTCCACACCTGACTGCGTCCTCACTCATACTGCCTGCTACATGTTCAGTCTTATCAACAGCTGAGGCCTGCTGATGGGGGGTCTGCAACTATTTGACACAGCGACTTGGGCTAACTGCAACCTCATGTAGTACTGTATTATAAACTGTTGATAGAATATTCCTTATTTTTATTCAGCTTGCCTCAGAGTTGCCAGCATGTATATTGAGTTTTGTCTCTTTCACTTTGCTCTATGACACTTTAGAATGCCCGTCACATTTCAGTGTGAACGTGATAAGGTAGATTCTGTGATGGGATAAAGTGACAAGTTTTTCCAATAACTTGACATCACTGAGAGTTATATGTTGGTTCACCGTGACTGTTTTTATTTTTGTCTTTTCTTTTTGAGTTATTCGATATTTGCAGTCATTTCACAGCAGCTGGATCGATATGTGCGTCTCCACTTTAAAGAGGCGCTGTGCGCATTTTACGCACGTGGCGCAGCGCCAGTAACTGCATTAATTAGGCCTATTTTAATTTATCACCACAGGATGAGTGAGGATCTAACGGTGAGTGACCTTGATAGCTTTCTGGATATCAGACAGTTTTGCTTTTACACACAGATTCCAGGGTGATTTAATAAAAACATGTGGAACACAGCAGACGTCCTCTGGATGAGTTGTCGGGGCATTTTATCATGATTAAGAAAAAAAAAAAACAACTCAATTTTTGCGTTGCTAAAATGTGACGTCACTGTGCGCATCGAAGCGCAGCATCCATTTACCATATCCACCTTTTAACACATTGCCAGACTTTGCAGTGGGCCTACAGATTCAATCCACTGATCTGCCCAACTATTGCTTTTATTTGTCACATTTTTGTTATTTAAAGTAAATAAAGATGATTGTTCACAGGGATGTACCTTAGGGACTTTGCTGAAACTCTGCAGCTTCTCACTGACTTTGGACTTTGACAAGCCAGATGGATTACTGCACTTTTATGGAGTAACATGGATACACTTTATATTGGAATGTGGATATGAGAACTGGCAGCCTGTCTAGCTTTGGAGAGGTGAACATATCATGAAAAGGAAAGAAAGTATTTTCCTTGCTTGTGGAGCCCCTATATAGATTTTTTGGGAACTCATAATTTTGAATGATTTGAAATGGTATGGAAACTATACATGGATCATCTCTTTTACAGGATATACTGAACTAAAAGTTAACACAGTTTCTTCTCACGGGTTTAAGTTAAACAGAAGAGTTTTTTCATGTGCTCAGTGGATATATTTTTGTCAAATTTTGGTTTTCAGGACAGCTGATGCAACAGTTGGTTTGCACAACCAAAGACTTTCTGCACAAACCATCAAAAACGTCTCAGTGAAGCTCATCTGCATGCTCGTTGCTGCATGTTGCCTATGAATTTTATGTTAATTTCACTACCATGAGCTGTCGTCAATGCCATTTATGTTCATTTGGCAGTACATCCAACCGTTCTCACAACTGTAGACTATGAGCAACCCCGCCAGCTCAGGACCTCCACATCCGGCGTTGTCACCTGCCAGATAGTCTGAGACCAACCAGCCAAACAGCTGATACAGCAATTCATTTGCACAACTGCAGAATTTTTGCGCAAACCATCTCAGAGAAGATCATCTGCATGCTCGTCATCCTCACCAGGGCTTTGACCTGACAGCAGTTTGTCATCCGACTTGTGCGGTTGTGATGCTGGTTGGATGTACTGCCAAATTTACAGAAACATCGTTGGAGATGTTTTACAGTAGTGAAATGAACATTAGGTTCACGGGTATGCCAATGGCAAGTTCCCTCAAAACTTGCAACATCTGTGGTTTCGTGTTGTGTGATCAAACTGCACATTTCGGAGTGGCCTTTTATTGTGACATCCCAGGACACACCTGTTTAGTAATTATACAGTTTAATCAGCATCTTGATATGCCGCACCTGTAAGATGGATGGATTATCTGGAAAAAGGAGATGTTCACTAACACAGGTTTTAACAATTTTGTCATCAAAATGTAAGAGAAATGTATCTGTTGAGTGCATAAACAAGTATTTGAAAACGTTTGAATATTTGTTCAGTGTATAATCTACCAATGGTTCGCTGTTTAACAAAAAGCACACAAACCACAGTGAAAAAATTTTATTAAAAAAATGACAAGTTCAAAATCAAACCAAGTTAAAAGTTTAATAGCTGTTGGGTTTTTTTCTATGAAGAAGACAAAGACCTGCATCATGGCACAGACAGACAAACATTTACTGAGGAGAGGTCGTTTGATGCACAAAACAAACAGAAGACTGCACAGACATCTCTGAACATGAGTTACAAACTGATCCCATGTGTAACTGTAATATTCAATGACCTTCAGCTAAAAGATCTCTAAACATTTAGCAGCAATAGTTCTTTAGACTCAATAAGCCACCGCTCAGTTTTTCTTCAGTATTTTGGATTCTTAAAAAAATGGAATGACAATGGAGCACAAAATATTAAAGATGAAATGATTTCTTTGCTTCATAGATCTATGTTCAGAGTACTTTGATATAACAAAAATCTTTTCATCATTAACAGTGCATAAAAAAAAAAACAAGCCCATCAAATCTGAGTAGCACTTCACTATCCCTTCCAGTGAAATCTAAGGCATTTCTGTGAAGTTTAATTTTCTCCTGGAAATGAAAATGTCCAACTGCATCAATTACTCAGCAAGAAAGATAGTTAACAAACAGGACCAGACACACAGTCTAACCAGAACATAAAAATTGAAGCTGGATGGAATGGTGAATTACAGCTACATGGTTTAAAAAAAAAAAGCTGGGTAGACAAGTGGGCAACACCCGCCTTCATTCACATAAAGCTCACCTGCCGTATATTTTACTCAAAGTTCCTACATTTTTACAGTCATATTAACAACCACATTTTGGTATGAAATAGTTCCCTTTTAACGCAGCAATTTTACCAACAACTAATGAACCCACGATGAATGTGTCAGTCAGAAAACAAACAAATCTCAACGTATGTAAAATGAAAATGTTAAAAGCCAGAACGTGACGTCGTATTGTGAGGTGATCCATCGTCGTAATGTGAGGTGTCTCTTGGATATCTGTAGTATTGCATTTATAAGGATAATAAATTAATTGCATAGATCATCAGACCTTGGGCGTGTTTTCCGAACATTGGACGGAAGAGTTAAAGGATGTGGACACAGTACCAGCTGTGAAGAGCCAAGAGACCTCGTGTAGTCGGTTATTGCCTGTGAACCTTGTACACAAACTGAATCTACATCTCTCTGGCAGGATGAGGTAAGTCGAGGTTTTTAAACATATATTTCTCTTACGTTGTTCCCAACTGCTTGGGGCACAACTCTGTAACAATGCGTCTGAACCTAGCACACATAATTCATCCATGATCAGGAGTCATGTTAGCAAAGTGCCAACAGTTGTGACACAGACAGAACTGAAATACCTGTAAAAAAAAATAAAAGAAAAATACAAAACAGAACATTAAAGGGGAACTCGCCCTTTTTCCAAATTCATACATGTTATTGCGATGGTTTAAAACATCCATCCATCCATCCATCCATTTTCGTAACCGCTTATCCTCTTGAGGGTCGCAGGGGGGCTGGAGCCTATCCCAGCTGACATTGGGTGAGAGGCAGGGTACACCCTGGACAGGTCACCAGACTATCACAGGGCTGAGACATAGAGACAGACAACCATTCCCACTCACATTCACACCTACAGCCAATTAAGAGTCACCAATTAACCTGCATGTCTTTGGACTGTGGGAGGAAGCCGGAGTACCCAGAGAAAACCCACGCTGACACAGGGAGAACACGCCTACTCTGCACAGAAGGGCTCCCTCCTGGGATTGAACCAGGAACCCTCTTGCTGTGAGGCGACAGTGCCACACCACAGTGCCACCCTGGGTTAAAACAGTCCAAAAATATTAGTAAATATGAACTCTCTCCTAAATCCAAAACTCAAATTTTTGATGTCATCAAGTATAAAGTCTGGAGCATCTCCATAGACAATGAATTAGGAAAGATGTTAATCACAATGTTTATAATAACTTTCAGGTAGAAAATCTCAGTGACACGTACATTATATGAAACAGCACAACACCGCCTCACCTGCTTAGTTTTTATCTACCTAAAATTAAGTGTATAATATTTTCCCCACTTTACCTTGCCGTCAGATATCCTTTTTTGACAGGTACCCAAATGACAAAAGAAATACACAAGTTTGCCAATTTTATATATCTGCAATTTTAATCAAGTGCCAGTTCCCTTTTTGGAAGTGAATGTTTTTACTGCAACGTCACGGGGTTTTCGTCTATATGGGAACATTTCTTACAATAGAATAAGGCTCATTTGGGTATAAAAATCAGTCATTGTCTATGGAGCAGCTGCAGACTTACTTGATGACATCACAAGTTTGAGACTTACTTCTCTGGTTTCTGGCTCTGAGAGAGAGCAGCTCATGTTCACAAATATTGATTGAACTTTCCTAGGCCATGGAAAAAACATGTTTGAAATCTTACAGTAGGTGGTGTTCCCCTTTAAAGTTTTTTTGACATCAACACTGAAACCAGACCGAGTGAAGTATGCAAACGTACAAAAAAATCACTATTTAAAAAAAAGAAGTTAAAAACATCTATTTCTCGCTATCTGAAGCACACAACATACTATCAAAAATAAAAAACAAAACTTCTTTGAAAAATAGGATCAATCTTAAAAGTATTAAAACTGAATTAAAAAAAACAACTTTTAAATAAGAAATGTAAAAAAAAAAAAAAAACATGAGGGTGAAAAACAGAAATGCAGAAGTAGATGCAAACACACAACGATGGCCAGTATTAAGCATCTCAGTACTGGCCGTGATCATCCATAATAAACCTTGATAGTGTTTTCTGAGGATATAACAGGACAGAGCCACGCTTTACCAGTTGACCTCCATGTCTGTGTAATAAGAACTTCATACTCTAATAACAACATCTTGCTTCAGAAAATACATTTTTTTGGGATGTAATGCAGATTCAGCTTCCCTTTTAATTAAAAGGGACAAAACTGAAAACAGCGATTCATACGTTGCTGTGTTCAGACAATTTGGTATAATATTGTTATTAAAATAAATGAAGCATTACTACACTGATCAAAGGAAATCAAAAGAAAGCCTAAATAAATTTAAATCTCTTATTTACAGGCAGCTCTGTGTGAGATGTGATCCCTGTTAAGAAACTTTGGATTTCATCAAGTTGAGCAGCTCGACACAAACCAATATTTAAAACCTTCTGATAATAATCTCTGGAATGCTTTTAATCTATTTAGCTTGTTTTTTAAAGACGTCTTCTCTTTGAAATCATCCCTAAATTTTCTCTTCTTTGTGATCGTCTGATTGTCTGAAGCTTTGTCGAGATTGTTGGAACTATAAATTACTCGAGAGTCAAGTGCCAAAAAGAAGCGATACCACCTCAGGTAAAGTTTCATACCTGATAAACTTGCTGCCACTTCGAGAGACGCTAATCCAAGTCAGCACCATATCTGTCTGAACCATGAGTCATCAGCTTTTTGAATGACTTCTCTTTCTTTTTAAGCTTTCAAATATTTGCACCGATCAATCAAAGTAGGACACATGAAGCTAGAAACACACCAAAACAAAGAATTATGTACAAAAAGGCAGGTTCAAAGCCTGAAAGTATCAGACAAAAAAAGTGAAGTCAAATCAGCATATCTTACAAGAAAAAAAGGTCAAAACAAAATATGACTCAAAATAAAATGTGGTGCTGAAATGTTCTTTTCCTGGTTTCATTCTAGCTCCCCAGAGTAGTTTTAGAAAAGAAGATGAACAACGTTCAAAAAAATCTTTTAAACATGTGTAGTGTGTGTGTGTGTGTGTGTGTGTGTGTGTATGTGTGTGTGTGTGTGACTGTTATCAAAATAGAAGCTCCTTGTTCTGTTCTTCCATTTCCCATTGCCTGTTAGCCTCCAGCCTTGCATGTTTGGAGTAAAAGAGTTTGTTTTAAAATATGAGTTTGTAGAAAATATCTTTTTTTTTTTATTGTGTCCTTTCTGTGTAACAGTCCGTGTTCCTCCCGAGTGTCTGGTGCCTTACGTGAGGAGTCGCTGTGCCAATTGTCAGCACTTGGGGCCCCTTGAGAGTCACTCTGGCTCCAGAGGAAGATCTGACACAAGGTGACAAGACCAGCCAATTAGACACAGGAGCTACAGCTGCACTGTCTCCTTTTGCAGTAGCAGACAAAAAAAATGCTTTTGGATTTAGAGAATACTTCATCCCCCAAATGACCATTTGTATGTCCTCCTGTCCACTCTGTATCCTCATATGAGGACATCACATTTCGGGTTTACTTGACCTCATACTTCATTCTACTTAACTTAGACCTGTTGTCCTTGTTCATGGACACTTTTTGTGCCATCTAGTGGTAGTAAAAGCACAATACACTAATCCATGTAAAAACAAGGTGGCAGCCATCTTTGCCAAGTCAGTCTGCAGCCGATCCCGACACAAAAGTGGACAATTCTAGCAACAGTAACAAGCTAAGACACTGTTAATTTGGAAGGACTCGTTTGAAGACATTGAACTTTATTATCGTCTTGTTTGAGGACATTTGGACTCAATAATCATTGCTAATGTTTAGTTTTTTATACTTATTGGGTCCTACTGATCCCAAATAGCTAGGAGGAATTAAAAATGCATAACAAACAAAAGTTTGGGTGTTAGCAGGATATCAGTTACACACCCTGTGTTACATTGAATTTGTGAGGAAAACTTTTTCTCACATGCCCCCACGAAAAATTCTAGATGAATTGAAGTCATAGGGGTCGCATTTAGCAACAGCAACATTATAACGGGAACTGCCCATTAGTTCGACTGCCCATTGGTTCGACATCCCATTGTTCCAACCATATTAAACTCATTGTTCCGAAGTCCGTTCCGAAATCAACATGATGCCCTGCGGTTAAGGCCTGGTTAGGTTTAGGCACAAAAAACACTTGGTTAGGGTCAGGAAAAGATCATGGTGTGGGTTAAAATGAAAAACAAAGTGACAAACTCATAAGCCATGAGCCTGCTCCGCCTCAAGCCGGTCGCGGCGCACGATACGCCCGCCGCGAGCCGTTCAGCACCGCGAACAGTCGGACTAATGGGATGTCGAACCAGTGGGCTGTCGAACCAATGACATGGACCCCATTATAACAACACATTCGTTGAAAAACTCTCACACAACTCATGCAGTGTAATCTAAGTCTAGTTCATCCAGTCGTATGCTCAGTACATGAAAAATATACATCTCTATCTGACAGAAATCTGAACTAAAAGGGAAACTTATCTATGCTCTCTTCAAAGCCAAACTCTGTTGACAAAAACAGAGATTTTACCTCCCTGAACACGGATGCTGCTGATCTAACGCTGCCTCAGTCAGTTAGGTTGTTTGTGTTATTGTGTGACTTAAGTGTTTTAAAGGGTTAGTTTGGAATTACCAAAGTCACACAATAACACAAACTAATTGACCGAGGCAGCTGTAGACCAGCAGCACCAGACCAGCAGCTCTTGTGTTCAGTGAGGTAAAATCACTGTTTTTGTCAATGGAGTTTGGTTTGAAGAAAGCATAGATAAGTTTCACTTTCTCCACTAGAGAGGGCTGACTGTTTGGGAAGTACTGAGCCTACGACTGGATAAATGAGACTTGGATTATGCTGCTCGAGTTGTCTGAGAGTTTGTAAACAGATGTTTTGATATAATTTTGCCCTTGTTAAACAGGGTTGCCTTTGATTTGAATTCATGAAAAAGGTTCTGTTTTTGGATTCTTCGTTCAGCAGATGCACATTTGATGTAACACTGGATGAGTAAATGTTACACAAATGCTCATTTGCTGGGGTGAAGTGTTCTTTAAGATGTGCGGACGTACAGAGACAAACACAGAGACACTGGAAATGATCAAAACCCACCTCTGCTAACTCTTCACTTGTTATGCTGGTAGGTGTAGGTTGTGTGTTCTGTGGGTGTCTCTATGGCAACAGGTTGTTGGACGGCACTTTCCTGCGAGGGAGAAAGCAAAGATTAAATCCATGAGTGACTGTTTAACATAACAATTTAAATGTTGTAGTGAGAGAAAATAGAGGTTACTACCTCAACTGACATGTTGGTGGCAGGCACTTGGGTGTACTGGGGAATGTAGGTCCCCTGCATAGAAGTGTTTGCAGGCATATACTGCAGGAGAGTGGAGATGAGAAGTTCATTAAACATAACAGCTACATCGGCAATTAAACCACTTTCAAGTAAGCTGCTCTAGACAAGATGTATGTCAAATTACATCCGTTTTTATCAGCCTAAAAGACACTGAACAAAAATATAAACACTTTTGTTAATGCTTCCATTTTCACAAGTTGAAATTAAAGAGCTATGACTTCTTTCATGTTCTCAACTGATACATTTCTCTCAAATTTTGGTCACATATGTTTGTGAGCACACACTATCCTTTACATTACTCCACAACTGTGTTTTGGGATGTCACAATAAAAGGCCACTGTAAAATGTGCAGTTTTTATCACAAAACACATGCCACAGAGGTCGCAAGTTTTGGGGGAGCATGCCATTGACATGCTGACTACAGGAATGTTCATTTCTCCATCATAAACTGTCTCCTACGTCATTTCTGTGAATTTGGCAGCACATACAAACAGCCTTTCAACCGCAGACCAAGTGTAACCACGCCCGTCCAGGACCTCCACCTCCAGCTTCGTCATCTGCAAGATCGTCTGAGACTAGCCATCTGGGACAGCTGATGCAACAGCTGGATTGCACAATGAAAGACTTTCTGCACAAACCATCAGAACAAGTCTCAGTGAAGCTCATCTGCATGCTCGTCATCCTCAGCAGGGTCTTAACCTGACTGCAGTCCATCATCGTAAGCAACCTGAGTGGGGAACTGCTCATCTTCAAAGTCGTCTGCCATTCTGGAGAAGTGATCTTTTCACTGACGAATCCCATGTGACCAAAACATGCATATCCTTAGCTCTAGTCATGGGAAATTTATAGTTCGTAGTCCCTAATAAATGTCTTTTTCAAGAAAAACCTGCACATGTTACAGTAGCCTTTTATTGTGACCAACCCAAGGCACAACTGTGTAATAATCATGCTGTTAAATCAGCATCCTGATTTAACAGATCCGGCAGGAGGATGGATTATCTCGGCAAAGGAAAAGTGCTCACTGACACGGATTTTAACAAATCGTGTGCACATGTGCGCACAATTTGGAAGTATAAGCGTTTTGTGTGCACAGAAAAAGTGTTGGATCTTTATTTCACCTCATGAAAAACAGGAGTGTTGCATTTATATTTTTGTTCAGTGTACAAAGGGGAATTGCAACTCAAGAAGAACATCCCATCTGATCTTATCATGCTGGTTTGCACTAGCTATCTTCTTGTACAGTTTATCACAATCACAGACCCTATGCATCTTTAACTGCTAAACATTAATGATAGCTGAATGCTGAACATTCTGCTCTGTACTGACTGTGCCGCTGCTGCCCATGGAGAGGTGGCTGAGCTGCTGCGTCAGGGGCCCCATCATGGAGGTCGGCTGGATGGACATGGTGTGGTCCATTCCTGGCGTCAGGACTGCTCCCTATAAAAAGAAGGCATACAGCAGTGTTAGCGGTTGCCATTAAAACAAAGAGACTGTTAGTCAGACGGACAGAATGTGAAGGCAGCAGAATATTAAAAGGCTTCTGCTGCAACACAAACAAGAAGGAAGGCCTAAAGATACTTACTGTGGGTGGCATGATGTATGACTGGTGATGTAGCCAGGATGGGTTGTGGACCTGCAGGAACAAGGAAGACAAATGTGTAGCAGAATATTACATAAAAGGTTTGAACAACTCAGAAAACAGACAAGCAAACCCTCATATATTTAGCTGTATTGTTTTTAGATTTAAAGCATTTTTTGACAACTACTGTTTCAGACTTTATCGGTATGTGACAGCAGCAAACTCCAGTCTTTCACAATTTAGACCACGCAGCTCTGAGGGTCTGAAACTACCTGGTAGGTGGACACAGGTGAATGCATGTACGGGGAGAGGGAGGTCGGCCCCATCATCCGGTTTGGGGCGATGCTGTAGGGGGAGGAGTAGAACCTACAGAAAGAGACACACAGAGCTATTAGTCACCACAACATGATCGCACTCCCTGTGGGTTTACAAGGGTATTTGTTTGAGTGTGGCACTGACCCATTCTGTAAGGCTGTGGTGGGGTCGTAGGTGAGGGTCATTCCTCCCTGGAGAAATGAGAAAAAGAGCTGTGTCATTCTGAGGCTGAACACAAGCAATGTTATATAATAAAGCATTTTCACAGATGTCATTGATGTAAGAAATAAACTCACAGTCTCCCCATCTCTCGTCCAGGGCCGGCCATTCTGCAGATATTTTCCTTGGCTCTGACGCTTCTTCTGGCCTCCGTCAGCAAATTTACACAACAGTGGCTCTGGTGGCACTGGAGCAGTAAGAAAATGTTACGTTATATGAATTTATACATAAAAAAATATGACATTTTATAATTTGGGTTATATTCTTCAACAGATTTTTTTTAAAGAGACGACATTTTAACCTCAAAGACACCTCACCTGGTACTCCAGGTGGAGTCTTGATATATTTTCCATTGAAATGTTGGATGATGGCTTCACATTTCTCTGTTGACTCCATCCTACAGACAAGGAAAAGGTAAGTGTTAATTACAAACAATCACAGTGATTAACAGTAGCAAGTTACAAGGCTATCACCATGTGTGTTTACATTTCCTGCACCGGCCACCAGAGGGCTCACTCACCATGAGTTATACTGAAACATGCAGCTGGATATTTTCTTCATAGCACCATCACTAATCAACTTAACCAGCTGTCCTAATACGTGTGACTAAATAAACAGTAAAAATGTTGGTTCCTCAGCGGCTCTGCAGTGTGGGTTGAGGTGCTATGAGGCACAAAGTAATGTTCAAGCCCCTGTATGGTTCTTAAGAGGTTCTCTACTGTTATTTTTCCCCAAGTATACTAAACTTAACTAAGCTGAAAAATCAGTAGAGAACATTCAGGCCCCTGTGCAGTTTTTCAGAGGTTCTCTAATGGTTCTTTCCCCAGTAAGACAAACTAAACTAAACTGAGGACCCAGTAAAGAACCTTTAAAGCCTCTGTATTGTTCTTGTGAGATTCTCAACTGGTTTGTCAGCTCAGTTTAGGTTAGTTTGCTGGAAAAGGATCAAAACACTACATTAAAATAACCTGCAAACAGTGTAATTCCAAAGGGTAACATATTAAATCAGTGGCTCTCAACCTTTTTGCCCCCATGTGCACAGAAATATTCAAGGTTTGAAAAGGTTATGTAATGTGTTTCTTAGTTAGCATTTAGAACAGCATTCTGAATCTTTAAAGGCAACATTTTGTGAGATATTGTTAATAATTATTCATGAAAATGTGGTCCGCTACTGTTACTCTGATGTATAGCATAATATATTATAATTAGGTAGAAATAATAAGTATTTATATATAAGTATTTACATTTATGTAAAGTTTTAGAAATATAAAAATAAGTGTATGATCCTAAAATGTACAACACAAGATAGATAAATAGAAATAGAAACAAAAAAAGATGTACCATATGTGCATCATGTGTTGAATATACATTCAAAAGTAGTGTTGATAATAATAAATTGGAACAGTAGTCCACGGGACCACTCTGAATAGACCGCAAGTGACTCGCAAATGTGTGGAGTTTGTAAAAACACACTTTATTTTGATGTACAATGAATTTCCAGCACAGAGTTTTTATTTTGAAGTGCAGTTTTCTGGTGTAGCGTAAGTGAATAATGGACAGTTACTTAACAGAGACAGCTAACTAGGTCAACAACATGGCCACACACAAGTATGACACTGAATATATTAAACTGTGTGGACTAATGACTAAGGAGAAATTTGGACCCCATAGCTGGATCCATTGGGAACCACTAAATTAGATACTGAAAAGAATATTGCTGCAGTTGAATTATTGCACAGTTAGTGTACTGAGTTATTGTACTGTTGGGTCACTATTGCACAGTTAAAAATATAATAAATAAACTATGGAATTATAACTGCTGACAGATGTATTAAGTCCGAGGGCTGGTCTATTGGCTCAGAGTGTCTGACACTCTTTGGGACGAGTTGAAAAGTTTAATGGCCACAGGCAGGAATGACTTCCTGTGGCGGTGGTGCATCTCGGAGGAATCTTGCACTGAATGTGCGCCTGTGTTTGACCAGCACATCATGGAGTAGTTGGGGGACATTGTGGAAGATGTCCATGATATCATCTGGTGTCATTCAAGGGCCCAAGGCTTAACATTTAGAAATAATATGGTGCTATACAGCACCTCTAATGGTTCTATATAGCCCTAACTGACAAAGGCTCTGTATGGCACCTTTAAAAGATGGAGCCATACAGCACCAAAACAGGTTTCCCTATGATTACGAGCCAAATATCTGCTTTTGGGTACTTTTTTATCACCATTTTTGTTTAGAGTACAAGCTTATACCTGGCAAAGCCCACTCCTCGGCTGGTTCCGTTGGCGTCACGGAGGATGCGAGTGGAAATGGCCTGGCTGAAGGGCTTCAGCATGTTCTCCAGCTCCTGCTCGTCCATGGACATCGGCAGGTTGGAGATGTATAAATTGGTGGGGTCCTGCTCCTGTTGCTGGACGGAGAGAAACCACAGGAGGATTAATGAACGATGATGTGGGGCAGAATCACAACTGTGTCATGATGTCAGGAACTACAACCTACAAGAGAATTTATTTAACCTTTTATTAGGCAGTGTTTGAGGTGTTTGATATTTGGAAGGGAGACAGGTGCAGGTCATCAGACAGTTAAAAAATAGCCTGAGAGAAAGGGTACAGAGTTTGAAGTTGAAGGCGGATTTCATTTTGGCGTGAGCTGCATGGATGAGGTCTGAGGAGAAAAGAGATATCCAGAGATGGTGGAGATAGTGTTCTGGCTGAACCTCTCTCTCTCATTCTGGCTCTCTATGTCTGTCTCTTCAACTTTTATACATCCAACTTGCTCCTTTTCTTCTCCACGCTCCTCTCTCATACTCCATCACCCATACGTTATTACCAAAAAGGGTAGAAGACAGGCCCATTGTGTGTGACTAGCCTCTTAGGAGGATGAAAGTGCAGGATCCAGGTAATGTGATATCAAAGCATAATTACATTTCTAATGGCTCTCCTCCATCCATGGATGATCTGAAATGATTACGTGCTCTCGCTCAGTGGAGAATCACAGCAGAGACATTTTGGACAAAGGCCTTTGGAAATGATCTGAAGAACATCTAAGGCATTGTGCTATCACCCTCCCCACAAGGCAAACATTATCATTCTGTTTCCTGGGTCATGGTAATAATATGTCGCTTGCATTCAAGCAGTTACATTCATGTGGTAATCCCGACCTTGAATGCAGGCACAGAGGCTGGCTCTGTTGGCTTGCATAAATCAGACAAATTATGCAGCTTTTCCCAATCTGAATTTGAAATTATTAGAAAACTCCTCAAGTGCCACAGTTTCATTTTATGCTTTCAAACTACGTTGTAGGCTTTTTTCTTCTCTTTGCCTCCTGCTCGAGCTGATTTATTTGACCAGCAGCATCTTGTAAAATAACCAATCTGTATCACCCTCTAACCATTATGCATATTCATTATCTCAGAGTGCAGATGTGATTAAAAACCTGTAAATGCAGTGTGAATTAATTTCCAACCCATGAATAATGCATGTGTAATCGCTGCGACCTGTGGTGAAGGTGATTTCTCCTTCAGCTCCCTCCTCCCCCTCCTCTTCCTCCTCCACCCACAGCAGTGTGAACTTGAGATGCGAACCCATGAGAGCGAGCAGAGAAGAACCTGCTGCGGATTTCAACCGCGAATGAGTCATAATGAGTCAGAGAGAATTCTGACGCAAACATAAGCCTCGTTGTAAACCCGAAGTGAAGGGGTGAGTGAAATCAAGTTATTCTGTGAGCAAGGAGCCGTATGAATGTCAGTGATCCAGCTTAACGAGAGATCAGCTTTCCCAGGGTGTTGGTGGTGTGTGTGTGTGCGTGCGTGCGTGGCTTTGAGTGTGTGTGTCATAATCCGGTTGAGGCAAGGCTGGTAAAGTGCGTGTGTGATTGTCAAGTGTGTGTGTGTGTGTGTGTATTGACAGGGCGGGTGGCTGGGCACAGGGCCCTGCTGACTGGGGAGCTGCTCAGACACTGAGTCAGATGCCACCAGGGAGAACAGACAGGTCCTTTGTACAGGGAGCTCAGAGAGCAGGCCTGGGACACGCTCCCTCAACACCGTCACCAACACACATACGCATCATGTACACGTGTACACATGTGTACCTGTGTGCATCCACGCGCTCTTGTTTGTGCATGCAGCTATACTACAGTGCATTAAACCCCATAAATACCCTGATTTAAGCATACACCCAGTGCACCGCCCAGCAAACACACATGCACGCGCGCACACACAAGCTGAGGCTTAATTGGCTTATATTCCTGAACCGAGGCTCATATAGCAACAAAAAAACATGGGGAGAGAGCAGGATAGAGAAAGAGCTTGCAACAGCTTTAAAAAGACACGTTTATAAGACGCAGATAAGGCCGAGGAGCAACCTTTCTGCTGCAAGGTCAATAATTCAGCATTTAATTTGTAATTAATAATTCATCCTTTTTACTTTTTGCTGAGTCACTGTCAAAATGCCCGAGAGGGTTTTTTTTTTTCACGCGCCGAGAATTTGACTCTGACCAGCAGTTTGGTTTAAGCTGACACCAAGTTCTGAGAAACAAACCCACCAAATATTGACGTCTCAAGTGAGGCTCTTACCTTGGCCATCTGAGCCTGCACTCCACCCGCCTTCAGCGCTGTCACTGCCTTCTGAGCTGAGGCCGGGCTGTCAAAGTCAACAAAGCCATAGCCTGCGGGGACCGAGACATACAGCAAGACGTACAAGTTATGACAATGAGATATGCATACCGCAGGACTCTATGGACACAGGCATGTCATTTGAGCTCATGAAGCACTCTTATTAGTAGTATTTGAATCTGAGGAGACAGTTATGTTTAGACTGTGCTGCTCCATGGAGGACAGATGTAGAGTTATACAACACTCTCCATATTAACCACACAGTGCACTGCTGTTTGGTACATAATGTGAATCTTAAAGGAATGCTTCACTCCAAAATGATAATATGTTTATTAATAACTAACCCTGTGTTACTTTAGGAAGAAAATATTTTTCTCGCATGCCTCCATGACGAACGAAGGATCCAAAAAAGGTGAATATTCTTTATAATTTGGGATAATAGGGGTACGACTTAACAACAGCAAATCTATATCAATACATCAGTTTGCAAACTCTCACACAGTTTGTGCAGTATAATCCAAGTCTCATTTATTTGGTTGTATGCTCAGTACTTGCCAAACCCTTTTTTTGCAAAACGTTACTACTTACAACACTTCTGCATAAACAGTCTCACACACTGGCGAGTAGTGCACCTGATGTGTGCAATACGTTTTAAATAGTAACATTTTAGCAAAAATGTATCCATCCATTTTCATCTGCTTATCTGGGGCCGGGTTGCGGGGGCAGCAGGCTGAGCAAAGCACCCCTTACATCCCTCTCCCTGGCAACGCCTTCCAGCTCCTCCTGGGGGACCCCAAGGAGTTCCCAGGCTACATGACATATGTAATCCCTCCAATGTGTTCTGGGTCTGCCCCGGGGCCTCCTACCAGTGGGATGTGCCTGAATCACCTCCAGCGCGAGGCACCCAGGAGGCATCCTGAACAGATGCCCGAACTACCTCAACTGACCCATTTCGACGCGAAGGAGCAGCGGCTCTACTCCGAGCTTCCTCCAGATGTCCTAGCTCCTCAGAGCTGAGCCCAGCCATCTCACGGAGGAAACTCATTTTGGCCACTTGTATCCGCGATCTCATTCTTTCAGTCACTAACCAGAGCTGATGACCATAGGTGAGCGTTGGGACGTAGATGGGCCAGTAAATCGAAAGCGCCTGCATTACTGCAGAGGCCACATCAAACCCCCGATCCATCTCACGCTCCATTCTACCCTCACTCGTGAACAAGACCCTGAGATATTTGAACTCCCTCACTTGAGGCAGCAACTCTCTCCAACCCAGAGAGTTAGTGCCAGCTTCTTAGCTGTGAAAAGTATTTGGTTTTCTTAGTCTTCTTTGATAGTAAACCTAACAAATTTGTCTTTTGAGCTGCCAGTCAGACAAAAAAGAAACAAGATACTGAACTTGTGATGGTCATTTTTCATGATGTTATGACTTTTTCTAGACCAAATTACTGATCAATTAATCAAGAAAATTATCAACAGATTAATTGATAATTAACATATTCCTTAGTTGCAGCCCTAATTATAATATAACAATAGCACCTGAACAAAGTACAACATGATTTACGTTGACAAAGGTCAATTTACCAACAGCTTTTGGCTTATTTAATTTAATTTTTTAATTTTTTTAAATTTTAATTTAATTTTATATACTTTATTAATCCCCGAGGGGAAATTCAATTTTTCACTCTGTTGTCAATTACACACAGGTCCAAACACACACATGCACAAACTGGACCTATACATGCACTAAGTGGAGAGATGTCAGAGTGGGCTGCCCATGACAGGCGCTCTGGGCGGTTGGGGGGTTCGGTGCCTTGCTCAGGGGCACCTCGGCAGTGCCCAGGAGGTGAACTGGCACCTCTCCAGCTACCAGTCCACGCTCCATATTTTTGGTCCAGACGGGGACTTGAACAGGCGACCCTCCGGTTCCCAACCCAAGTCCCTATGGACTGAGCTACTGCCGCCCCAATTATCCAATTGTCATAGCAAAATTAGTATAAGCATGGATGAACAACTGAAATGATTTAACTTCTTACAGTCAAACAAAATGATACCTGTCTCACAGACCTATCCAGACTGGTGAAGTGGTGAAGGTGAAGTTACAAACAGCCTGTCTGTAATTTTAGTTTTCATACAACAGGAACTTTTCCCAATTAATCTCATGTAAAATTCAACACAAATGTCAAACAATTAAACACTTTTGAGTTTGCTTTGCCATCTCTGTTTGTCTCTCAGCAGTTTCAACCAGCTGATGCCTTCATGCCTCACCTTTGCACTTGTTGGTGGTCTTGTCCAGGATGGCCTTGGTGGACACAATTTTCCCATACCTGATAAAAACAATGACGTTGAGGGGTTAGGCTGGAAAACAATGTTTACATTCAATATTAGCATTGCAACATTGCTGAGGCACCCTGGTTTCTCTCTAAACTCAAAACACCCTAAGGGATCGTGCTCAATGATGACTGAATTATAATTCACCTGACAGATTCAGCGCAGTGACACTGAATACAATTACACCATCTGATAATAAATGATGTGCAAAGGGAAATCTTTACAGAGGGGTGGGACATAGATTAAATGAAATAAGACTAATATCCCTTGGGTATCTGCATGCTACAGAAACTATAGATTCCACATATCTTATTCATCCCTGCTCTCACAGAGATGTCGATAGGGATCGTAACTCGAGGGGGATCCAACATGACAACATGGTAAAAATAAATGTCTCTTTTGCATTTTCAGGATGCTTCACAATGCACTATCAATACAAAAATCTTGTATTATCTATCCAGCTGGCTGGCTATAGACACTGCAGATGCATAGGATAGTGCCTGGCTCGGGCAAATGCTTCTGTGCGGCAGAGTGTCTTATCGGTTCCCATCTCTCCAGGCATGTGCATGCAGTGTAATCTGATATGCCTCTCCTTGGCTGTCCTGTCCAATGCTGGCTCCCAGCCATACTCTCATTCTACTAACCAGCTTCTCTCAAGGCAGCGCTCTGCCCTCCGCTGGGTCTTAGTGCCTCCCACAATGCTTTCATCCAGCCACACTGACAGCACTGCTACCCATCTCGTCTGGGCTCCAAGAGTCACTTTCAAAATATTCTCCATGAGTAAGGCTTATGCGATGACCTGCTAAAATTGTAATCTGACAGTTAATCTGTTGGATTACTCCAAATAGAAAATGAAATTGTTTCTTAATTTAGGATTACTTTCCCTTTAGAAAAAAAAGAAATCTGTAAATCTTTATTCCGTCACCAAGGTGGTTTAAAGGCACACTGTGCAGGATTTTCCTAAAAATGTATAAACTCAGACAGAAATAATCCCTCTCAATCATAATTTATGACCCAATAGAAGTGTTTGGCGGAGTATTTTTCTGCAGAGACTGTTCGCCCGGCTTGTGGATGTGATAAACTTCTCAGTCCCCACAGACTTTGTGTCTGAACTAGCTACCGTATATCATATTGTCTCGTCATATGATCAAATAGAGACTTGACACTGGAAAACATCAACATACATATTATCCAGCAATCATTATTGCTTATTTGTGTGACAGAATTACCAAAGAAAAATAAATTATTAATTCAACTCAAATGTTTTTTAGAGTTTTTAAAAATATATTTTTAATTGATGTGGTGTTTGTTTTAGATTGTTACTATTTTACAAAAAAAAAGAAAGAAAACCATGACAGAGATGGGTTTGTATAGCAACTTACACTGTTTTTAATTCTATGTGAACTCTTTTTTGAACTCAGACATCTTTCCGAAACAGCAATCTGATTCACTTACAAGGGTCTGTCCTCTGATGGAGGGCACCTGCTCTTTACACCCCTGTGTGTCTGATTTCCTGTTAATCTTCATTCTTAGGTATTATCTGTGTTCATACTCTACATAAAACACTTTGAAATATGCTCTAAATTCTCTATTAATATTTTTTTCCTTGACATTCAAGGCATCACGGACAGACATAAAACGCTACACACATTCTCTGCAAACTGAATCCACCCAGTATCATTACCATTTCATGGTGCATTTCTGATTCCAGGCCATAACATGCCACCAACTGGGCTGGGCGGATACGCCAACACTGTCCTCCTATATTTCAACAAGCATCATTACTGTGGGTGCACAGCAATCCCACCAGTCCCTGACTTCACATTATGAGTCGCATTTAAGCTGTGAGCTCTGCTTGCTGCACTCCCCTGCTTACACAGTTGAGATACCCGTTTACTAAATTGCGCTCAGAGGTCTTGGGCTACATGATGCAGAGCGAAAAGAGGGGCTGGAGACGCAGCCATGTGTGAGAGAGCACAGCGTAGTCCAGCCCCGATGTCCATCCATGGTCAACCACCAGAAATGGACCAGGGCGAGAACCAGAGCGGTAGCGAGGCACCCAGAGAGAGACAACTGCAGGGGCCGGAGATGGAGAACCAACCCCCATCCCATCCTCTCATCCTTCACTCCCTACACAGTACATCTCAGAGCATGCATACAGCAACTCTTGGTGTGGGGGAGGAGAGCTCTGGGAGTGTTGTGCCCTGATACTATGCACACATTTGCTGTTCAAACTGGAGTTAACTAAGTCAAATTCCCTCCATGACTTGTCCTCTGACTGTTTTACATCCTAATCTACAAGCATTTCCCCTGTTAACAATTATTGGATACAGAATCCTCTCACAGTCTAGTTTAACAGAGAATTACATCGGCCTTAATGTGCTCTGCTAAAAGGCAAATTTCATGCAGTGATTTTATCTGCTCTGTAAAAGCAGAAATATGAGAACTACCCCCACAGAACACCACCTGACACACAAACCCTGAACTCCATTCACTCCTCCCCCTCTGATTCTCTCCATCCACCCCCTTCATGCCATTGCCCTTGTTTGTCTTTCCCTTTCCCCTGGGCTCGCCGTTTCCTGTAGGGTTGGGCAGCCTCATGTGAGCCATATCTTCCAGACAGCTGTAAAATAGCAGGCCTCTCCTCTCCCCTCCCTCCCTCTCTCTCCCTTACTCAATCTCTCTAGCCCCCTTTTTCCCTCCATTTCTCTCACTCCTCTCCTCTGTTCTTCTGGTCCTCATCACCAGGCTCCAGAATTCAATTAAGTGAACCCAGACCATTCATCCCAGCCCTACTTGTTTTGATGTCTTCCACTGAAGGCCTAACAAACATATCAGATGGATTGGATGATGCTGTTGTTTGATGTCAGACTACACGCTGCCCACAACAAAGTTTTCAAAGACTCGCACTCACGCTGATGAGCAACGCAGCGTGGTATTTATAGTGCAGAATATGACTTTGAATAAGGATAGCGTAACCTCAATGTCATCATACTGTTTGACGGTAATCTACGAGACTAAAGCACAGAGGAGCAATAACTCATGTAGGTCAAAAGTCTAAGGAGGAGTAAGAGGAGACATACAGAGAGAATTAGCGTGAGAGAGGGAGACTAAACATTCTGTACCTAGTTGTCGGAAAGTCTGCACTCGGCTTTGCCAAAGTGAAAGGACTCAGTTTGCCGCCAGGATGATTGTTGGTTTTTCCACAAGGTCACTAAACGATGGGCTTTAAAAACATTTGGATGAAAACGTGGCCCTCTTCTTCACTCCAGAAATACCTGCTAAGGTGTGCTCAAGCATTAATGCGCATTTCACATGTAAGAAAGTCATGCAGTCCTTGATGCATTCAGCCAGCCAGCCATCGCCTATCCATCCATGCATCCATCACTCTGTTGTCGTCATCCACTCTGCAACTCTAACCTGTGTGCAGCGGGGCAGCCTGAGAGAGATTTACGCAGTGTATGTGTAGCAGTAGGAGTGATTTTTTTTTTAGGTGACTTACGGCTGACAGAGTTTGACCAGATCCTGGTCTGTGGTTCCCGGGTGGAGGCCACGGATGTACAGGTTGGTCTTGCTCAGCTGCTCTCCCCCACTGCTGCTGCTGCTGTTGCTGATGGAGGTGGTGCTGTTGTTGCTATTGCTGTTGTTGTTGGGGCTTGGAGGAGCCATCTGATGGTTGGAGGGGGACACATACGTCTGCTGCAAAACAAACAGAAGGCACAGTTAGATTTGGGATGGTTAGGTGCATGAAATTAAATGTATATAGGGATGCAGTAGCAGACTCGATATGAAGCAAGAGCAGCTGGTCTGCTAAGTGACTTGCTAAAACTACAGATGTGTGAGGAGAAAGTCAATTAAAGACACAGTTTGCCAGAACATGAGACACAGTAACTGGTTGCAGTGAGATGAGATGGAAAATAGTGTTGACAAAAGTATCGATTTATCAATACATATGTATATTTGAGACGTTTCATTATTCATTTTCCACAGTATTGATATCCCGCTAACAGCTGGGCTTTCCCGCTCTCCCTTATTGCTAATGTTCACTCAGTCATTCTGTTATTCTCTGCTACTAGCCAAGAAATGTCATCCCTGTCATATTATAGCCTTGTTCTCTTTTAACAAAAATGTTAAATTGTGTGCCCTTGAAAATGGTTATCAAATGTCTATATGTTTCAGGGTATTGCATCGAAGTTAGAATTGCCAGTATTGTGACAACACTAGTGGAAAATGTAAGTAAAAAATACAATGCAATTCAAAGGGAAAAGTGAGAAATAACACGTGAGATTACATCATGTACCACAAACAGACACATATTCATATTAAAAGGTCAGACACACAGGGACTATCTTTGCATATGGGTGTAATGTGTACACTTGTATAGACAATATACTACAGGCTCTTTATACGCTCCGGGATGGGAAGTAGAACAACCCCATCCCCATCCCCCCGCCCCCTACAAACTTCAAACATTTACTGTTAAAATAAATCAAAATCCTCTACAAGCAGCCAGCAGCATTTTAGCCTCGACAGTGCACCTTGCTTGGGCAGAAGATAAATGAATGGCGGCCATTCAGTCTGTGCAAAAATGGAAGAGGGCTGCAATATTTTGATACGCTAAGTAAGATCCAGTCTTTAATGTTGTATGAATCAATACCTTAATACAGTAGTTCTCATACTTTTTTTGTCAGTAATGTCCCCTTTGAAATATGCCCACTTGAGAAAGACTGTCCAAACAGACTAGCTGTTGACAAATAAATCCTTAAGACAATTATATACCCTGTTCTAATGTTATTGAGGATTTTAAGGCTCATATTTCAGATAATATTTCTTTGTTTGCAAGAACTTTAAAACTGTTCTGTAGCGATGCTGACCTTACCTTTTCCAGTAATGTCATTTTGCACGTACATGTATTTTACATGCCTTAGTGAAGGCTGGGACACTGAATCATTGCTTGACCACTGTATCTGTATAGCTAACACACATGAATCACTGATTATCACTGAGAAATGTTGGTTTGAATGTTGAGACCTTACCTTATTGTTTTATCTTTAAGTGTGCCTAGCAAACTGACCTATTTTTGAACGGTGCAGGACTTGAGAGAAATGCTACTTTGCATGCAGAAATGTAAACTGTAAAACTCTGTAGCATTCATGGGAACTATGCTTTGCCCAACTTGTGGTGGCAACCGAGTCCATTTAAACGTAAAACCAAAGCGTATAACATGAAATCTGGTTGGAATTAACGTGGCTGAGCTCCACACTCCTGCAGGAGAGTTTTCATTGGGAGTTTCTGAAACACTTCCAATCAACACTGTTCACAGGGAGATCTGCGGATTATCCACAGTAACCAGGACATTGTTTCTGGGCAAGAAAAAATTATATTGGCTTTTCAGATTTAATGTCTCAGTACTCTGAGCAGCAAAAAAACCAAATTCCATTCCCCACAACTCTCTTGGGGTTGTAGCGAAATACTCAAAGCCTAAACTATCTGCGGCCAGATACCACTCAATGTTTTGTTTCAGATTGGGATAAACTGTCCTTTTAAGTAAATATACTCCTAAACTAAGCATGAATGCCACATTTTTTTGCCACCACCTCTCAGATGAATGTAATGTTGGCAATTACATCCCCTGGGCTATGTGCTTGTACCTAAGCTGAGCTGATTTTATGACCTGTTAGTTCAGTATGCCACTGCACACTGCTCATGTACTGTGTGTGTAAGCATGAGAGCAGTATGCACAGACTTGGCTCACATCAACACATGCATGCAGTGAGCATGTTATGGGTTGTGCAATATATTCATCAGCATAAACATGCCCACATATAAGGCAATGATAGGGAATCTTAAATGTGTGTGCAGATGTGTGCGTATGCATAATATTTTTATGTGATGGCTGTTTTCAATGCTTGCATTTAAAAGACACAATTAATACTGTGAACCATGGTTTGGAATAAACAAATCTAAATTGGTATGGGAATAAAATGCCAGCTAAGTTTGGCCTTGGTGTTGCCTCCCTCCCGCTGCTGGTGGAGGAGGAACTGTTTGATTAGTTAGGGTCAGCAGGCTCGGCCCCGGGGAACAATGGGATGGCTTGTTGGACACCACAAGGTCAGCGCTGGACCACCAGCTTATTAACAGAGAGGGAGTTGTCAGAAGACTGCTAGAATCAAGCTAATTATGACACCTCTATTTCTCTCTGCGGTGGATCTGTTTCTCACCAGCTAGTGCAGGCTGAATTCCAGAAACACAGACACATTAATGTTTTAATGCACAGTCTAATATGTGCACATTACAAAATTAAATTGGATTCAGATTTGGTTTGGATGTTGTAACATGATCTGAAAATGTAGGGGGGAAAAAAAGTTCAAATCAGTCTTCATGTCCCTGCCAACATACTACAACCAATATACTAAAAGAGCTCTTACCCTGCATTCATGTGGTGTTGGAATAATCTGAAAAATTAGTTCTCCACTGGGAAAATTCACATGAATGCCCCCTCAAGTCAGAACAACTGGGAAAGTCAGCAAAAATTTTGGTACAGGACTTATGCTGCATTCAGACGGATTAAAGCAGACGAACAACACTGTCTAGATGGCACGAGAAAAAAAAACGAAGAGTCCAACAGAAAGGCAGGACGGTAACACAAAACATGCACGACACTATGGTGTGACAGCAAATGCCATATTGTTTACAAAGAATAGAAATTAAATATATCAAATCATATTACTGTTTTCGTGTGGAGTGAAGGAGTTACGTAGTAACATCTGGCTGTGTGTTCTGTCCAGAGGATGGCAAAAAGTTAAATATTTTAACTTTGAACCACAATGCCTTCTACGATTACCCTTGCTGGTATTCTCTGACAACCTCGCTTAAAGGGCCAGTGTGTAAAATGGGTTGAAAACAGTGACATCAGTGGTCAAATTCTAGATTGCAGGGCTCACTCGCTCACCCCTCCCATTGGGTAAATGACGGTGGCCTCGTAGGGACAAAAAGCCTTGCGCACAACTTTTTCAGGAGTAGGTCTATCTAGCGACAAGGTGAATGTTTATTTAGAAATCTAAGCCATGTTGCAACATTGTAATGAATCCCTCACGAGCAGGAGACCAGAGTAGCGTTCGGGAAAAAGGCCAGTTTATTTGAGCACTCCAAAAACTCCGGTAACACTCCAGGGGGTAAAAGACTCCGTCCCAAACTCTGACTCTTCTAGCGTAACAGACACACTTCATACACACATACTCGTTTACCATACTGAGTGGGGACCCCCTCCCCTCTCTGCTCCGCCAATCTCCAGCCCGCACACTGACTGACAGCGTAGCCTGTAAACAGAGCTCAGCTGTTTATTTAGCCTAGCAATATCTCCGGACTATAGTAGCTGCAATGGACGACTGTGAACGCGATTTTGAAGAGTTTCTTGTAGCGGACACAGATCCAGAGCCATACCTGTTTGAGCCGGAGCACACAGATGAGGAACTCCATGTGTTTGATGCTGAGCGGGCGAGAAGAGAAGCTGAATGCACAGAATGGGATTCGGTGCTACTGCTACCATCGTGATATATCATCAGGAGGAAAAGCGCCGCAGAGAGTGCATCACAAGGAGTGAAGTTGCGTCTTCTTTTCCTCGCAGATGACGGTTCGGGTTCATTCTCTCCTGTTGCGTGGTAAGTGTGGTCCATTCGCAAACTTTATAACTAAAAAAACCTTTCACTACTCTCCATCGACGAATTACTAACTCTCTGCTGTTTCCTCCTCCTTCTTCCTTCCTTCCGCTGTCTTCGTTGGTTTATTTATACACGCGAAACGCGTTCTCTGGCTGGCTGGATTGTCTGCTCAGTCTGCCGTACATACATGGCGGCGCAAGATGGCGACCTCTCTAAAGCAAGGCCCTTGCTATATATATATATATATATATATAAAAGCATAATTATAAGGCTACGAAAACCAAACGAATTTTATTTTATAGCGATTATACACTATACATATTAATGGGTAGAATATTCAGATTCAGATTCAGATTGACAATAAACCATGCCAAATATTACACACTGGCCCTTTAATTTCACTGTCTTGCTCTCGTCCACTAAAATGATATTTGGTTTGCCATCTAGCCTACCATCTCCCTGATTCCATGTGAATGCAGATTTACGAAGTTGACCTCAAACAAAGTGCCCCAGAAATGAGTTCCAAAAGCTATAAAAAAAACGTTAGCATTTGACCACTCCTGGTTCCCTCATCTAAAAGTCAATACATTTTTTGAGTGGGTTTTTGGTGAGATGCCTGAAATAAGGTCTGCGGTTAACACAAGCTTAAGGGATGTCCAGGTTTTGTTCTACAACATAAAATACGTCAGTAAATACCCCACTCGAGCAAGTTGAAGTTTCTACATGTCTTAAAAAGCAGTTGCAGGCAAGTGGCTTAATGAGACTAAAGCCACACCTAGCTGTGCCGAACACGGCTTTACTGTCTTGTGGTGTGTGTTTGGTGACATTAGCTTTTTACTTCTGGCGATTGCATTTAGGCTTCAATAATCATGAAAATGGTGTTCATTTGTGAATATAAATATTTGTTTGCCACAGATCTTATATTTTTGGCAGTTATTCAAAATCTAACGGAAAATTCTGTAGGGTTTTTTTGACAAGGGAGCAAATATGATGCTAACTAATGCTAACTTCCGGTCTAGAGAAAAATGTCATCCCTAGGGCACTCAATAACACAGGAACATGGTGGATGACAGAAAATATTTGGTTGACGTTAAAAACTTTTTATTAATTCACATATTACAAATTAAATTTTGCACACATGTAATGTGTAATATGATATAAGGTTGTGACCATTATTTATATTGTATATTATATTATTATATAGCTTCTAACTGTTTCAACATATGGGTATCAACATGAATCCCTACTGGCACGTTAAACGCTCTGAGATTTAAAATACAACACATCTTTGTAGCGTCCATATTGTTTCATCATTACGACTGAAGAGTCATGAACACAACTTGGTCAGAAGAGCGACTTCTCAACTCAAGCTTCCTTGTGGTGTTAAAACTCGGAAAAACGGACCATCCGAGGAGCACTTGAATGCACACTACTAACGGTACTTTTATTAGTAACGTCTGTCAACGCAGAAGTTCAACAACAGCGCCTAATATCGGTAGAAGGGAAACGGGACAGAGCTGTATTAAACTAGGTACATGTCAACGTTCGTTAGTACGTTATTTTTGCGTCAAGCAATATAATATAAGCTCACAAACACGGTGTTTCTCAAAGCTTTAAAATGCTAGTGTCGAAGCAACAGGATAGCTAACAGCTAGTTAGCTGGCTAGCTGAATGTTCTGCTGCCGATTGAAGGTAGCTAACGTTAGCTGTTGTTGTTTTTAACGTTAACGTTACATTAGATGCACTTATTAAATGTTTTCCCACTCCTCTAACGTTAGTTTACGTTTCTGACACTTTTCAAAACTATGTTCAACATCAAGTATTAAGTTAAACTTTATGCCCCTTTCAGACGTGGAATTAATACAACTTTTACATGGTTTCATCTTATTGTTGAAGGAAAATAATTATCAAGTCAAACTATTTTCTGTCATGTTTGTAAAACTTAAACTGTGTATCTGATAACTGTAGAGGCAATTTCATTGTGTTCCCTTCACATAGACTAGAGGAATATCAAACATAGATCTGTAGCCAGCTGATGTGTGATGTACAGCCTGGTCTACAGATAGGATAACTAGGGAAACTGACATAGTATTAAAGATACATTCTAAGCATGTATGAAAATGCATGTGTAATACATGAATGCAATATTCTCTAATAAAAAGCCATTTTACCTGACTGCGAAACCCCAAATACAAGACAAATGTGCACTCTGATATCTCGTATTACTTAGCTACATCCTCTCAGACTCTATTGACATGAGTAGCAACAACAGTGATTCCTTTGCAAGCTTCACTCTATCCACGCAACCCAGCAGCCTTATGTTTTCCAAACTGTCTAGGAATCAGCCTTCATAACTTACTCCCTGTCTTTTCAGTCAAGCTGAGAAAATCACAGTGACTCACAGAGCCCATTCATCTCGGCCCTCTTCTCTAATCTCCCTCTCTTCTTAAGCATCAATAGTGCGCTGTTTGTTTTTCCACAATCACAGCCTCTTCCTGTGCTTTCCCTTGCCTTCACTGTAGGCAGCCCGCACAGACTATCAGGAGGGATGCACCTGCAGAGGCCTGGGGAGATAGGATCTGATGGGAGACCGAGTCCGGGCCCAAGCCTGACTAGTGAGGCCTGTCTAATTAGGATCTGAGCTTGTTAGCGCAAAACACTAATCCCTCTCATGTGCTCTCAAGTCAGAAGGTAGTGTCTCATTAAGGCCGCTCTGCTAGGCTCCTTCTGAGAAAAAGATGGCAGTGAGTCAGATCCACACCTACTCCCCATCTGCCCCAGCTCCAGGTGTTTTGCCACCCATGTAAGGTAATGCCAAACACAGGCGAATATGCATTCAGAAGAACACAAACACAGTTAGAAAGGAAAGGTTTGAAAGTATGATAAGAGTCTTAAACGTGCATGATTTGGGATCACAATTCACATTTTTTCCTAGCTTGTGAGGTTGCATATCGTCTCAGTTAGCCTGTGTCCAAAACCTGACCTCTAAGCCTGTTACTGATTTCCTTCCTTCTTGTTACTCTTCAGTCCTCAGCTGCCTATGTAAACTATTTGCACTGTTTCTTACATGCATCACAGTGTCATCTCTGAGCATTCTTTACATTCCTCTGCAGTACACAAATGTTTGTGTTTCTCTCCTTAAAGTGGACAGGGGTTGTGGGGGACATGTCTTGGTTTAGCATTAGAGTTCAAGCTGTCATCGTAAAATTGAGCTACATTCCTGGAGGCATCACAGCTCTGTGGGAATAGATAAATACAGGAAATCCTCCTGTACACATGCAGCATATACCATTTACTATTGGCATGATAAATTGATTAAAAAAGAGGCATTTTTAAAGTGTGTAATAACAAATTAATCCTATCCTGCCTATGAAAAATTGATGCTCAGTTGCTTCCAGCAACTCTACTACTACTACTCTGTGTCCAGAGAAGCTGGAAAAATATACAGTCCTCCTTACATCCCAATCACGATCACGCAGTTTGCAGTTATAGTTGCAGTAAGATAAATCACCTCTTTGTCTTAATATTATGGTTGTGCTTGAAGCATAAGTACTCTAAATGGCCAACAGCGTGATGCAGAGAAAGGGAGTGTGCTCACGGCAGCAGCTGAAGACTGATGAGGTGATTACAGTTGGAGGGAGCAGAGGTGATACCTGTAGGGAGCGCAGGTGACTCAAGGACTTTTTCATCCGTGAGAGAACAATAAGTGCCAAGTGAGGCAGGATGTGTGCCTTTAACTCTGTAGTAATAGCAGAGATATGAGTCTTATTATCCAATGCTTGAAAGCTACATCTCTCCGGCAATACAAACCTTTTGTGCACCTTTTGTTCTTTAATTTAATCAAGCATATAGTTGGCTACAAAACCCTAGCAAAAGTAATTTTATTCATTTTGGAAAGTGTGAAACGCATAAATTATTTGAATTAGTTCCAAAATAAAACATATTTTGCTTATCATCATCAACATGATGGTACTTTCCATCGCCATACAGTAGCATTTCAATTATGCACAAGTAAAATGTCAAAGTCAGAATCTCTATGTTGCCAAAACAGTTATTATTCATGGTGTGCAACAAGTACATGCTTGCGAATGTATGACTTATTATATTTTAAATTAGAGCGTAATATCCAAAAATGTGGAGTCCTACCTGCTTGGCTAAAGACACTTTAAAAGGCACCGTGGAAAAGATCATAGTGTAACAGACTAAATCTCTTTATATGATATTCCTGCAGCGTGTTAGGTAGAAAGAACCAAATAAAAAAGTAATAATAATTCTTGTCGTCCTGTGGCTAAAATGTGAGACTTCTCCTTGCTCTCCTTCTTCTGACTTGGTCCAGTTTCATTAAAAAGCACCAGAAAAAAATCTGTGACAGTTAAAAAGAGTCTGTTTTCAACAGGTATGGAGCACCCTGAAGAGAGCAGAAAGTCAGGACAAGGGATGCATCAGTCAGGAGGAATGTTCAGGCTCTCCTCTCCATGTGAACTGAACCACTGACAGACAAGAAATCAAGGTATGTGAAGCACACAGGGGAAAAAGGGAAAAAAAAAGGGGGGGGGGGTTAATCGAAAGCAGAGGAAAGGGAGGGGGGGGGGAGAGTCTCTTAATCCTTTTCTTTTCTCCACCCTTTTTCCCGTAGTAAAAGACACAGACCAGGGGTTACCACTTGACACTGGATTTACAAGTCTTCCCTCTGTGTGACTTTGGCGCTCTAACAATACGAAATGTGTTCTAAAAAAAGTGTGTGCATGTCTTCTTTCAAGGAAAAGGTCTGAGTTTGCAGAGCCCTTCTTGAAATGAGCACATTGTCTGAATCCAGGATTCCAGGAATTCCAGGTCATTAATCTGAGCAATCTGAATTCCAGCCAGCCGAGAGGCAGGGAAGGGAATAACATAGGGAAGGAGGGAGGTATTTGATTTCAGCACTGTGCTCACGTTATTCAAGAAATGTTGAGAGTCAGCCATCGACATACTTCACTTGCGACGCATTGTGGCATGAAATATGAATAGTTTAACAATTTCTTCAAGAATTCACACTCAAAATGCTCCAAATCCTCGACATGACTATTTCATTTACACTGTTTATGAAAGCAGCCCTGTAAAATCCTGTAATTTCTGCATGTTGCAGAATTTAAAACCTGAAAAATCTATATGGTCTGTACAGAAAAGGTGGCTGAAAATAGATAACAATCTTGCCCCATGAATTATTCATATGGGAAGACAAGCTAATCAATATGGGACCATATATATTGTTCCAGCTCTGTTGTCACTGCTCTATGACAGCACATCCCACACAGCCACATATATTACATCTACATTATTGCACGGGCTCTGTAACTTTCCTCTTTTCCATAGTGCCATGCAAAACCCGTCATCATTAGCAGGACTGAAGGGGTGGGGCATATCGGTGCGTAAAAGAGGAAAAAAAAACTTTGCTAACTTGTGGTTAATTCAATGAAAACATCACCTAAACATCACGCAGTTGATTCAACCCTTACGAATCCAAAATAAAGTCGACTGTAATTAGCCTTTATTAGCTTGTTCGCAGCCTAACGCGCATCTACAGCACATTTATAAGCGGCTCTCCATAGTGCAGGCTAGGTATAGGAAGAGAACAGCGACCGTGTCGGGGGAAAAAAACGAAAGCAAACTGTTGTAGTAATCTACAGGCAACAATGTAACGGGTCCGCGGTAGTTTGTAACAGTGTAGCAACAACATCAGAAAGCCGACAGCAAAGGTTGCAACAGCAAGTAAGAGAGTTTAAACGTCGCCTGTGATCCACTTTCAAGGACACTGCAGCTTAAACAGCCGAGCAGCTTTTAACTGAAGAGCTCGGAACAACACCGCATCGAGAAATTAGTCTCTGTTACAGGAAGAGAGAGGACACAAATAAAGGGTATTAGTGTTGTTATTTACCTTCTTGATGTTTTTGCCGGTGTAGCCGTTGTACGGGTTGAATCCTGTCCTTGGCGGCACAGAGAGCAGCATTTTTTCACGGCGCTGTGTCCGGAGGAGCGGAGAGCCGAGGCAGTCAGCTGACGTCAGCCAGCAGGGAAATTCAGCCAGGAACAGCGGTAGTGATTGGAGTCGCTCTTCACAGCACTCTAATGTGCTACACACACACACACACACACACACACACTCACTCACTACACCGGCTATATGCTTAATGTGCGATATCACACTTTATCCCAGGGTTTCATGCCCCCAAGCCTCCTCTTCAGCCTCTGTATGGTAACACAGGAGATAAATACCCAGATATGTTGTTAAAATTATTAAATCCCACAAGCGCTCATGCAAGTAACCCTGTAGAGTTTAGGACTATATGAAGAAATGCAGTAAAGCAGATGTTTGTTCGAGTCAGGCATATTATTGTCATGATCAAGGGTGTAGCACAAAATTCTGGGCCCTATGCACGATCCATGTGGGCCCCCTGCCCTTCCTCTCTTGGTTTAAGTCTCTCTCACACACCTTCATCAAATCGACGCTGTACCTATGCTGTAGGCTCTGCATTAACGTAGAGCCTACGCCATACCCTACGCTGTAATGAAACTATGCGTTGCGGTGATGCAGACCTACTGTCTATTTTTGTAAGCTGAAAACCATTTCCCTCAGTGGAAACAAAGCTTTTATTTACTTTAATTTCACAGATAAGAAACAATAAACTGTGAAGAAATTAAGCCTCCACAAAATAGCATTTTAAGTCTTGTGTGTGATTTATCCTGGCCTCATATGAGCAGAGGAAAACTGCTCTTTGCTAGGCTAATTTATTCAGTGTTAAATGCCATAGGCTTGTGCTAATAACGTTAGCATCTTATATTTGTTTGGAAAATGTGTTTAGTATAAGACAGTTGTTTTGTTGTTGAACCTTGTGAGTTGTAATGGAGTCAAATTTTGTAACATTAACTTTGTTAAATGTTGCTGTTGTCCCTGGCTTCATATGAGTAGAGAAAATCTGCTAGCCGCTAGGCTAATTTATACAATGTAAAATGCCATAGGCTTGTGCTAAAAACATTAGCATGTTGTATTTGTAGGGAAAATCTGTCTAGCAAAGGACAAATGTTTTGGCTATGAATGCTGCGAGTTATAGTGAAGCTGATTTGTGTGCTTGTGTTTGACATTGTCTCTATTAAGCCATGTTTAATGTGTGTTTATGGGTGTTTTGAGTCAACTAAACTTTATAGCACTTCACAGAAACCTCCGCTGCTGACTAGTGTTTTGGAGGTTTAACTGCAGAGTGACACAGATAAACCACCGCACAAATATAAATGCTCACAACTGCATAAGCCATGTGCGTAGGCTATGGCGTAGGGTCTGCTGCACAAGTATAAATCGCCCTTAAATCATTTTGCGCCTTTAAAGAAGTGAGGTCAAAACAAACTTGCTATTATGAGGTAAGATTTTTTTTTTTCTTAGCCATTAAGCTCTTTAGCAGAGATGTTTCCTGATGGTTTGTGTTATTGTTCACTAGGGCCGTAACGGTACATGTATTTGTGTCGAACCGTTCGGTACGCGACTTTTGGTTCGGCACGACCCTGTACCGAATTATTGGGCGCAGGATATTATTTTATTTTATTTTGTTTTATTTTAATTCCGTTTTTGCGAGCCGAACCATTTAAAATATCTAATTCCCCGACGGACATAATTGAGTGACGGACCGAGTCCGACCGTAAATCTCCGCTTTCACTTTATGCAGCGCATTCTCGCATTTAGACAACATGGCAAGTGAGCCTGAGGAACCTGAAGACCCACCCGCAAACCTTAAGTCCTCCGTTTGGGAACACTTTGGTTTCAGGGTAAAATACGAAGATGGAAATAAACAAGTGGACAAGACAAAAGCAGTGTGCCGACACTGCAGAACAGCGGTCGGTTATGTACTTGGAAACACGTCTAACATGCTAACGCATCTAAAGCGACACCACCCGAGTTTGAACGTTAACCGGCACAACTAGAAAAAGTTGTTTAAGCTGCACTTTAGATATAAGCATGTTTTGTTTACTGCACTTTAACAAAGTGGGAAAGCTAAGTAAGTTCCTAGTAAAACTGAATCTGAGCAGGCTTTAAAGCTGACCAGCTGCACTATACTTTTTATTTTAATTGAGTAAAACTGTTTAAGCAGAAATTTATATTTATATTTTTCATTCAAAAAATGTGTTAAAAAAACAGCAGGATTTTATTTTTCACTTTTATATTTCTATTTTCATTCAAACAATGTGAAAAAGCAGGATTTTATATATATTTGTTTCATTCAAAAATTGTGTAAAAAGAGTTAACTGCTGTGGTGGTATGTTTTAATAAGGTTACCAATAAGTAAAAGATATTTAATAGTTGTCTATTTTTTTCATTACTGTACCGAAAAAAAACGAACCGTTACTTGTGTACCGAGGTACGTACCGAACCGTGATTTTTGTGTACCGTTACACCCCTATTGTTCACTGGAGTACAGTAAATATGCTCTGTACTTTCAACACTGGATTGTGTTGTCAGTGTGCTCATTGGCTCAACAGTCTTCCGGTTTTCCTTTTTGAATGATGATTTCAGATGGCTGCAGTCTGCTGGTGTGGAGGGCTATGTCCTCTCACGTAGGTGCAGAACATACATGCTTGTTGGCCATTGGTTTGGTGTGTTCATGTGCAACTGTTTGGTTGAGACACAGCGACATGTGGCGATGCAGCAGGGGGCTCTCACTGGCGCTAGTTCACTCTTTCAGTTACTTTTATTTTGGTCATGGTACAAATTACTTAGTAATAAAAAAATTGCAAAGGAAACCAAACATTTCACTCAGAGTGACTGAGGTAAACATTAACAGTAAGAGAGAACCAGAAAGCTCAGCTGGTACTGGTGTATAGATACTGTGGAAATTGAGTAATGAAACCATTTCCAATATTCAGAATAAATATATATCTATAAATATTTTTGACTGCACTAGTCAGGCGTGGAAATTGTGATTTTGAGACTTTGTGCAAAAGCAAGCCTGTTGCCCCTCTCAGTCAATATTTTCTTAGCAGCTGGTTTTAGTGTCAAGCTAAATGAGGTCCAGGTCAAGAGCCAGCAATGCAACAGAAGTGAAAAGGAATAGCCTGTTGCTATTTCCTGAGTAGGAAGTAGACATGACTCACTGTGACCTGAAATAACTTTTATAGAAATTTTTATATTTTGTCCTGATGTGTAATATCCTTCCTTAAGCCCTGTATCTGAATTTTAATGTGAAAATAAAAACTTGTCTCAAAGCTGGCTCTAGTTAAAGTGAAGTTAACTAAATCAACGAAACTATTCAGGAAACTGTGATCATAGTAAATGTAGTGTATACAAATATAAATGCAGTAGGTAGCAACGTGTTCATTTTCTCCAGTATACAATGATTAAATATACTAATGAAGTGTGAATAAACTATTTACCTTACTTCCATCAAGTTTTATTGAATGTCCTAAACAAACTTCTTTCTTTTTGATGTAATGGCAAAGCCCAGAAAGTTTAATTTCTTGGTGTAGTGTGAGCTTTATGTTGGTCAAAGCCAATCATCCCCCATGCATACACACAGGTTCAGCTTCAAACAGTTATTGAAACCCTTCTAGTTTGAGCTGATGCCATCTGGGTGACACCTTTAAATAGTTAGGATAAGGTGTGGAGCGGGGGCGTAGCACCAAATTCCTATGCGTAAGCAGTTTCTGTGATGGTACTGATTAATTTATACAATGCAAATATGCTGCAAGCTTGATTCTTGGCTGTCTGACTGCCCTCCGTCTGAACAACTGCTGATATTATCTGAACCACTGTGAAACTGTGTTAGCTGTGCTCACTTTTACTTTGAAAGAAATCAAAAGCTAGTTTCTATTTTCTCTCTTTCTTTCCCTTTTCTTCTTTGGAACCCCAATTTCCCTTTTTTGGGGAAACACATGACAGAATGCGTTGGTGCTCCAGCAGCATAGGCAGTCATTCACTTGGTTCTAGCTGCGTTATAAGATGAATCCTAATGCTGGGGTCACTAAACCGTTTTATACCTTTTGTTAAGGGTGAATGTGGCCTCAGAGAGCATCCACTACTTATTTTATACAAAGTTCAGTTTCTCAATAATTTATTCAGCCAGTTTTACTTAAATAAAAACTTGCAAACAAATCCAACTTTTCATTCCAGGTTTTTTGAGCACACCTCTCCCACTGGGGCTTTGAGTAATCACTCCTACTTTTTCCACCACTCTGACACCCCTGGTGTGGAGGAGAACACCCAAAACAAATCATTCTCAAACACCTGATACCGACAGGAATAAAGAGCCTAATCATTAGAATATGTTATCTGACAAACTCCAGTGTCACAACCTTATTATCTTGTCTGGCCCATCTTTATTAATTTTGACCCCAGTTAATATGTTTGTCATTAAAATACTTGTATTTTAAGGGAAAAACAAATTAAAAAATAATGTAAAAACAATCTGATTATCTGGTTGCAGTCAACACTGGCTTTCTCTTCTATTTTTGGCCATTTGTCAAACAAAGCAGATGTATCTCCTAAGGGTGGAAAAGCTTTGAAACAGCATGTAGACCATCACAGTGCACTAAACAAATGACATTTATTCATAGTTAGCAGCTCTTTACGGCTGGCTGTCCATTATCTACTGAGTAACAGGGGAGCTCTATGAGATAGATTACTGCCTTTAAATAAAGAACGAATTAAATAAAATGTAGAATCACAGAGGAATCCCTCAGCATATCAGTAGTGTAATTTGAATGCATTCTCTTTTTGCTGTGCTAACATCTAATGAGACAACAAGACAAAAGTGAAATAAAATGTCCTAAGTTTGTATCATCATGTTACATATGGAGTAATCTAGTCGCAAGTGATACACGTTTTTGGAAGTTATATAAGGAAAGTGGTCATTTAAAACACGAAAGTAATGCTTACCTGAAAATGGTATTTTATTTGCCTGTGGTACTGGAGCATAAGTGGACAGTTCACTTTAAAATCAAAAACGCATACATATATCACCCCTTGCTGTGCTGTTTGTCAATCAAGATCGTTTGGGTATAAAGTGTTATATGTTGGAGAT